GTATTTAAAATCTATCTGTGACCATACTGAGACTGATGAGAAAATTCCTTTAAAGTAGTAGTAGTAGTAATAATAATAATAATAATAATAATAATAATAATAATAATAATAATAATAATAATAATAATAATAAATAGCATTTGTGTAGCGCATATCCCTGCTCAGCAGCAGGCTCAATGCGCTTTACACTATATTATTACCCCAGCAGACCACAGAACACTCCGAAACATTCTCAGCTTCCCAAGAAGCACACAGTGCAAGCAGCTGATTAAGCGCTCAAACACTAACAAACTGACAAGATCTTTCGCTGTCTATAGCCGGGTACCCAGTCCCACCTGAGTGAAGTGAGGATAATTCGTGTAGAGTGCCTTTCCCAAGGACGCAAAATCGGGCCCCTGACGGGATTCGAACCCACGACCTTACGGTTGCGAGTCCGAGAGCCTAACCACTAGGCCGACGACGCCACACCTTATAGCCGTTCTCCAGGACGCAATGTCGGACCCACCTGAGCCTCGAACCCCGGAACCTGCAATCTCACGACTCACGAGTACGGGTTAAACTTCCGGCCCAAGACCTTAGACAGTTGGTTAGTGGCACGGTTTGGTGGCACGGTTTGGTGGCACGGTTTGGTGTATCTACAGTGAGCAGCCTCATTTATAGAAAACCTTGTGCGGGATTGTGTTCTACAAAGAGTTAATAATTCCACTGTTGTACAATCGGTTAAGCTAACATTTCGTACTTCCTCCCCCCTTTCTAGATACACAAGCTTCAAAATATTGGTTGTCTTACCATATTTAGAATGCTTTCAATGAGTGAGGCAGGGACTGTTCTTTAAAGCCCTCGGTGAAGTTCTGCCAGGTTAAAGTTACAGACTGTACCACAAGCAAATATCTTATTTAATGAAAACAACTAGTAAAAGTAATTAGCCCTGTGTGACCTTAAGGTACAAATGTACGTAGAAAAATTACTCCTGGCCTGACAGTTAACCTTGAGGAAGAATATTTTCAGTTACTTAACCGACTTAAACGGAAGTTGTGACACGCCC